TGGCCCCAGGTGTTTAGAAAAATTAAATGTTAATTTTTAAATTATTTTAAAATTTTCATTAAAAACATCACTTCTTACCAAATTTTCATTTTAACCACACAAAACAATATTCATGTAAATACATTTAGGCTGTGAATATGATATTGCAATTTAAAGGTATAATTCTAATTTTGCTGGTTGTTTGTCACAACTATTGCCATTACATCAAGTGATATACAGGAAGTATGAATTATGAGTAACAATAAATAATAATAATAAAATTTATTTGTATCCCGCCCTTTGGGAAACCCAATCAGGGTGGGTCACAGCAATAAAATCATACATAATAAATCACAACATTCCCACCACCACCCCTTAAAACAGTATTAAATCAATAACAAATTAAAACACATTTAAACAATTTAAAAACACATTGCATATAACATCTTGCAACAGCAGCATTGGGCCATGGCAATGTTTGCTCATTCCCTCAGTAGTTGGGGCTATGGAAAGAGTACAAAAAACATTAGTACAAAAAACATTACTAAGGATTCTGTATGGTATGGCATAGGAGGAGGTCAATGGGGAGGTTGTGACGCCATGAGCTATCACAGCAGGTGATGCCAATCCTAGTGATGCCACTGTCTGGGGTTCTGTTTTCTGCCACTGAGACCCTCCAGGGACCACACAAATTGCCAAAAAAATTCTAGTCTCCCCCTCCAAAAAACAAAAAACAAAACTCAAGTGGCTGAAGTCAAAGCCAACATGACCAAAAAAAGAAAACCAGAAGTGGCTTTGTAAAAATGATATTTATACAAGGGACTCCCACAACTTATTCAAAAGGTGAATTGCCATTCTTGGATCCCTTTCACACTGCCCAACTCTACGATTACAGTTCTACTTTAACTGCCATGGCAACATCCAATGGAATCCTAGGGTCTGTAGTTTGGTGAGCCGCTAAAACTTCCTGGCTGAGAATTCTAAGAACCCTTCACTAAACTACAAAGCCCAAGATTCCATAGGATGGAACCCTGGCAGTTAAAGTAGAATAATAGTGTTATAATTGTGTAGTGCAAAAGATCCCCTGGATGCTTCCAGGACAGGTAACCCAAGGTTGGTTTGTTTTTTCAGAGAAAGGACAGTCTGGGGAGTGTGCAGGGATTTAGGATCACCAAAACAGCTTTGGGGAGCCCAAGGCAGCCCTAAACTAGCATTTCCTCCACTACAATACATAGGGATTTAAAATCCTATATCCAAAGCTGAACTTAGAAAGTTTTCTTTTGGATTGTAGCTGCCAAAAAGCTCCAGCCAGCATGGCCAGTGAATTGTAACCTCCAAAGGCAACTTCCCAAGTCATTCTAGCAAACAGGCACTAACACAACAGGACTCTCTTGTCTACTTCTTGCAGTCCTCCTGTGCCTCTGAAAAGCTGCTGAATTGGGTTTCTCAAGCCTCCAGATCATGTTGTGGAAGATGCTGGTCACCCTCCCTCCTCCTTCTGATAATAAAAGGAGTTCTGCCAGTGGATTGCCCCTTTGGATCCAGCCCAAAGATGCAATGTATCATTTACACTCTGAAAACATAACAACCCATTTGTCATTTATTTCTGCTGAAAGTATAAACTGAGCCAGAATCTCAGAGGCAGAAAACACACTGTCTCATAGCATGTGAAAGTTTAAGTCTGCTCAGCTACTGCACAAATACATCCATCCTTGCCTGCTGTTCTTTATTGTAGCTTTAAAACACAAGAGTGAGAATTTCTGTACATCCTTTCTAGTTTCTGCACTCAAGTCAAAAAGTCAAATGAAAATCAGCTCAAGTACATCCACTGTTTGACACATTGCACAAAATAAGGGGGGAAAATCCTTCTGTGCCTTCCATTCCTTTGTATAAATTTTACCTTGCTCTTCCTCTAAACATATGGTTCTCGGGTGCCCTCCTATCCAGGTGTCTTACAGAAATAGGTTTACTCAGCTTTACCAGCAGAATTTCAGATTGTTACCATGTATTGCGCTGCACTAAGATTGACTGTCAATCCACTTGTCTTGTACCTCAAACATCTACTATAAGTTGACCTCATGTGCAAGTTGAGGGCAGGTTTGGGGGCCAAAATTATAAATTTTGATATGACCCATGGATAAGCCCAGGATAAAAAGTAGGGGCATGTAACAAAGGATCTGAATGATGAAGCAAAGGAAAATAATGGCAAAGAACTTACAAAATTCCACCAGGCATAACTCTTTGTGATCCCACTAAAGACTGGATGGATGAGAGAGTAGAAGGAAGCCAGTGCTTTCAGGAAAGATTATACACTTGCCTTAGGAGTAAGCCCACCTTCTCTTCTCCAACTTCTGCTTCAGTCGCTGCTATTGTTTGTTATTGTTTGCTCGGGCAAGATTATTTTAAATATGTTTTAATGTATATTTTTGTTTGATACTTTTTTAAAGGGCAGATGGGCTTGGGTTTTTGGCTGTGTCTAAATTTTTTTGCGACATATCTGTATGGTAATTTTAATGTTGTAAGCTGCTCTGATTGCTCTGCAGAGGGGCAGGATATAAATAAATTTTATTATTATTATTATTCACCAAGGGATGGCTCCTTTTTTATATATTAAAGTGCAGTATGTGCATTGACACATAGATAAGTCAACTCAGGTTTCGTGGGTCAATTTTTGGCTAAAATTTCTAGATTTATACATGCATATATGCATTAAATATTTTAGGCTCAATCTACTTTCCATAGAAATCCCAGTTGTCTCAAGTATCACGCAGCATGTAAATCCAAGAAACAATTTTAACTACAGTTACAGGACCTGTGTCACCTCAGTACATAGCCCTAAATACATTTCAGACCCAGTTTTCTTGTATTACGTTAACAATGCACATCATTTTACAATGCGGGTGTCCAAAATATTTACCACACATTCCTTTTACAAAATAAATTAGTACAATTTGTAACATAAGAGGGATCAGCTATCCCTGTTATGTCCATTACGATAGCATGAAGAAGAGCAAAACTGTAGGATTATTTTGATATATCTGTCACCATGGCTACTATAAACATTCACTGCAGCTTTTTAAATAAGCAAATTAAAATGAATACAGTGCTATTGAGATCTGAACAAAAAATAGCTGATGGTCACATAGAAGTTAGTTAGCTTCTTAAGGTTAGAGAGAGAGAGAAAGAGAGTTATGTATATTCTGCCTCAATTCACCTTCTGAAATAGTGGCTTTCCTTAAGGATGTGTAATATCCATTTACCACAACATAGAACAGAGCAATCTTTATTATCATAATCTTTATTTTTATTTATTAGCTTCAGTGCAACTGCAACACTAGAGCAGTGAAATGATGAAATACAGTAGGAAAACCTATGAGTTTATTATGAGGCTGAACTTGTTCAAAACCTTTCTTTTGCACCTCTCAGTTGAATGATGGTATTATTATTATTATTATTATTATTATTATTATTATTATTATTATTATTATTATTATTATTTTCTTATATCCTGCTCCCTGTAGCTGGTTAGGTGACAGAGAGGAGGGGCACTAGCTGTGTGCATGCCCTGCCTGGTCTTCACTCTTTGAACTCCTGGCAGGAACACACTGCTTGCTAAGGTATAAAAGAGAGTATCTTTGGTTTGTATGGTTCCCCCCCCACCGCCAATCTCTTCACTAGTCTCCTAGAGGGGATGCAGGGGCATCACTTGAGGATTGCAGGGGGGGTGAAAATGCACCAGGTGGCACCCTAAGAGTGGGTGACACTACTGCTCCCCGGACATCTGATTTTGGCAGAAATGTACTGTGACGTTCATCTGCAATCCTTTAAAATGCTGAAGAGGTGGTGAGAGTGAGGCAAGGCTCAGTGGCAGGAGAGAGGAGAGGCCCCAATTTTTTTAAAAAAAATAAAATAACATCTACATTTATTTATTTTAAAGAAATTAAAAATAGTTTTAAAATAATTTTTAAATTCTTTTAACATTTTCCTTAAGAACATCACATCTTACCAAATTTTCATTTTAACCACACGAAACTATGTACATGTAAATACATTTAGGCTGTGTGCATGATATTGTAATTTAAAGTTATAATTTTAATTTTACTAGTTGTTTATGTCACAATGAATACCATTACATTACATTTTTAAAATGTAATGTTTTTAATTGTTGGAATTGTTTAATAGTTTTTTTATACTTTGTATTTTTAATGTTTTCTACTGTTTTAACTTGGACTGTTTTAGATTTGTTAGCCACCTTGAGTCCCTGTGTTGGGAGGAAGGCAGGATATAAATAAACAGAATAAATAAAAAAATAAATAATTAGATTCAGTAATATACTGGAATTACAATTTGTGAAGAATATTAGTACAAAAACAATTACTAGGGATTCTGTACAGTAAGGTATGGGAGGAGGTCAAGGGGGGGTGACACCATGAGTTGTACTGGGCAATGCAAACCTTGTTGCAAGGTAGGAAAGCTCTGCACTAATTTCTGATAAATCCTCCTGATGCAACTGAGGGCAGGTGTTGTTTTCCCCCACAAGGAAATCTTCTGCAGGAATCATCCCTCTGGAGAGGTGATGGAGATCTTTGGTTTGCTTCTAGAAGGCAGAGTAGAAATGCTGAACAACTATGTGGTGCAATGCGACGCACATATTTCTTTATGTTCTACATCTAGGCAGGAAAATTGAAATGTACAAACATAGAATGATTGACACCTGGCGTGGAAGAGGTTCTTGTTTAAAGGATCAAGGGTTTCACAAGGTCTATATGAATCTACAAGAAAATCAATGGAGTGGCCAAAAAACCAATGCAAAACTACCTCTGAGTATTCCTTGCCTGTGAAATCCCAATGAAATTAATGAGGTTGCCATAAGTGGACAGGAGATCTGAAGGCACACACACACACATAAGACAAACCTTTCATGGGGTTTTCTTGGCAAGATTTGTTCAGAGGGGATTTGTCTTTGTCTCATCTGAGGCTGAAAGTATGTAACTTGCCAAAGGTCAGCCAATGGGTTTCAATGGTTGAGCAGGGATTTGAACCCTGATCTCCAGAGTTGTAGTCTAATGTTCAAACTACTACACCATGCTAACTCTTTAGGGAGTTATACATAACAATTCTGGGAGCTGTGGTCCAAATGTACCTTTTCAAATGTTGTTCCTATCATAAAGGATATTGGGAACTATGAAACATCTCTTCATTATCTATGCGCAACCAATGTTTTGCTTTCTAGAGACTAAAAAACAATGCTGCTTTTGTTAGGGGGAACAAAGACTTCCAGATTATCAAAATATTTGAAAACTGCAAATTGTCATTTGCTATATGTACAGAGATATTGGTAGGAAGCATATGTAAGTATTTCTTGTGGTGAGGGGAATATAACTTTGGTCCAAAGTTCAATAATGCTATAATTAATTTCCATGAATATAATTTTTTTTCTTTGATAAAAGGCTATTTAATACAAAGAGATTAGCCCTTTGCATCTTATTCAATTCTGCAGCTTAATGAATAAATTCTAAAAATAAGCCTGAAAAGGATTAATCAAATTCATAATACTTTAATTGTGCACCGTTTTCCTCATTTAGAAGCTTCTCTCTCTTTTTAGCACACCTAGATTTGAATGCAAAGGTATTTTACAGCACTCATCCATTATTTTAATAGCCTATTTTTCAAATACACACTTAAAATATAACAAGAGCTGAATTCTCTGGTAATAGGCTTAGTACTCCCAAGTGGTAGAATGATGGATAGGACTTTTTGATGGGCCTAACAGTATCCTGTTGAGCACAGTCATTAACAATTACATTTTAACTTATAAGAAGATTTGATAAAGAACTGAACTAGGTAGCTGAGAGGGAGAGGGAGATCGGGAAAGAAGAACGAACACCCCGTAAATCTAACCTGTAGGCAATATCCAGCCCAGCAATTAAATGATTTCCCAAGTGTGATGGGAAGGATCGTTCGGTCCAACGCACCAGTGAATCACAATCTCAGAACAAATGTCATCTCAGGATTTATGGACTGATTGCAAATCCTGATTTTAAAAAGGGATTTGCAGAGGTGATTAAGACAGCAGCAGAACATTGCTAGCTAAAAACTACTGTTTATCTTAGTAATATAATGCATAGATATTAAAAAGTTATATGGTATATAAATAAAGTCAGGCTCTGTTTATGACATTAGGAAGACTACTATAAGTTCTGCTTATGAGACGAACTCTTGAAATAAATTGGCAGACTTTGCTGGCATATGATAAACGAGAATCTTTTTGTCTAAATATTGGAGAACATCTAACATTCCATAGAGGAGGAATCATTTTTTAAAATAGCAGATATTGCTTAAATTGATAAATTGACTTACATACTTGAAGGGGAAAACTAATAGTAAATTTATTAGAGATTAGGAAATATTTCAGGTTTATCTGCAACAAAGATTTGATGATTCAACAGTTCCTGGATTTGTTGACTAATGACTTTGTTATTATATATCCATGGGTGGAAAGAGTACATGTCAATTGCATTTTTCTAAAAAGATCACAAGAAAAATAATGGTTAAACTTAATTATAAATTTTATTCTCTTTTTTTCGTTTCCCCTTATGAAAGATTTTCCAAAATATGGTAATTTAAGATGACATCTCAGTATTTGGGAAGCATCCAAATGTTGGTTATTTTGTATATTTTTATATTTCTGTATATTTCTGTAATTTGTGTGTGGAACTTGTATTGTATGTTTTGTGTTTAATAAAATTATTATTATTATTATTATTATTATTATTATTACCTGTCTCCGTGGATGAAGGGAACAATGAAAGCCCAAGAAATACACAAGATCAGTTAAAAACACACTTCAATTTAAAAGAACAAACAAGACACAAACATATTAAAACAATCTACATTTAAAATTCATTATTTAAAATTTGCAGTTTTAAAATCAACTGGATAGGCCTGCCAGAACAGATTGGTCCTTAATGCTCTTTTAAACTGAGACATCATATTCAGCTGCTGACTCTCTTCTGGCAGGTCATTCCACAGTCTAGAGCAGCGGTTCTCAACCTGTGGGTCGCGACCCC